TTGCTTGTTCCTCCAGACCAAACATTTTTCTAGGTGGGGGAACCTGCCTAAATCCACCAGTGGTCACTTAATAGCTGCCAGAGGCGTAATTCAGGCTTGAACTAGTGACCTCATCCCTTCCTCTCACATCTGCGGAGGGACGGACTGATGACATTGTTTACATTTTGGTCTCTGAGCCAGCCCAGCTCCTTTGCCTGGGGCCTAGCAGGGATGGAAGGGTCCTAAAGATGCACAACTAGTGCTGCTCCCTCACACTGCTTTCCTGGCTTGGGGCTGTTTCTGTAAGTTAGTAGGAAAAAGCAACTTGTACAAGTCCTTTTTAAAGTAAAGAGTTCTCCCTGCCTGTTGTATCACCTGCTGGCAGAGGCTGAGGCGAGGAATAACACCCGTGCGGTTTGTGCTGGGCACCAGCGCAGGCTATCATTTTGTGTCGCCAAACAAATGCGATGCAAAGCCCTGAGGAGTCGCCGTGCAGCTTTGAAAGCTTTATCTGTTATTACCAACAAACTGATCTCGCTTCTGCCCGGAGTCATAGATGCTGTCAAGGATCAGATGAGAAGACCCGGTTTTGTCTGGAGCCCCAGCAGGCAGGACCCCTGCTCAGGAGAGAAGCCAGTGGGGACTGCAGAGGGCTGTGGCTGAGGAGGAGGGCCCATTGTGTGGGGTGCTGACCCCAGCCCAGAGTGACGGCAGTCACACAAGAGTGAGTTTTATTCATCTCTTTTTCTCCTTCTTCTTCTGTTCTAAGCTGACATGGAGTGAAATGAAGCTGAAGGGACCCTTGAAAAGGCCAGGTCATTGATGGAAAGGAAAAAGGGCTTGGCAGATGGTGAAGAGCTTTCATGAGCAGCATGAGCTGCGGCTGGCTCCAGGGAACAGAATTGTTCCCCTGCTTGGGCTGTGTGTCTGTCTCTCTGATTATTTTGTGTATTTCATCTCTGCTGTCTGTCTCACCCTTAATCTGGGCTCCTCTGTGCCAACAAAATGCTTAGCTCACTCCATTGTCTGAGAGACTAATTTGCACTGTAAATCTGATGCTTATCTTACATGACAGCTTACTGTGGGGTTTATTGCAGTCCTGAAGACAGACAAACTGGGGATGGCTAGAAAGCTTTCGACACATCATATGGAGCATAGAACAAATACAACCTATTTCAGCTTGCTGCCAGGTTAGGATGTGGCTTGTGGTGGCTGGGGTCACAAGGGATTTCTCTTTCTCTTTTCCGATCTATTCAAACCTGAGTTTGGGGTTTTTTTTTTATTCTACAGTTTCTGTTCTGTGGTGGAGCTGTTGGAATACCTCTGGATCGGCCTCGCACCCTCCTAGGGCCAGGTCTTCCATCCCTCTTCCCTGGTACCCGTGGAGTTTTAAGGACCATGAGGGTAGCTCCAGACCAGATGCAGGCAGCGTGTGAAGCACTGGTGCTCCAGTGTGCTGCAGCTTCATTGTCTCTGCCTAGCTTAATCAGAAAGAACCTTTGTCCTTGTCTTTCTTCATTAGTATTTCCTGACATTTTCTCCAATATGTTGTAGCTCTTTGCTGGCAGAGTAACATCCCCCCTCAATCTCGTCTGCAGTTGCCTCCTCCTCTCTGGTCCCTGGGCTATCCACCTACAGGCATTCCCATATCATCTAAGAGATTTTCACTCTCGTGTTGTTCAAATAGCTGAGCAGCTCCAGAAGCCAAAATCCTCCCACAGAGGGGTTCCAGGTAGCCTCAGACACAGGTTTACCTGGGGAGAGCCAGGAAGATTATTGCTGCTTTGATATAGCTCTTGGCTCTGCAGCTGAGCATGCCAGTAGGTGTTTAATGCCCAGAGCTTCTGCATTGCAGTCCTCTGGGACGCAAAGGATCCTGCTTCCTCAGACAGGGGAGCAGGAACACGAGACCTGCCATCCTCAGAGGATGGTGTTCATTTGGAGGACAAGTCTGATTTTCACTGAGTAGAGTTCTGCTTTACAGTTGCATGGATTTCTGGGCCCCTCTGTTCTTCCCGTCCTCAGTCTGAAGACAAAACAGAAAAATGGCTGTACTGGATAAGCTGTGTGCAGCAGTTGAGGGGCTGGCAACTGAACTGGAAATGGAGCCAAGGAGTCTCAGCAACGTTGAGAGAGAGGAGAAAAAAAACCACTTAGAGAAATTGTTGAGGAATACGCGAGCAATATGTTGTATTGTAGAACTGTAGCTGCTACAGCAGAAACTCTGTACTGGCCTCTCTCAAACTCCATTTTGCTCACCAGATTATCAGACAGATGTGTAACGTAAGGTTTATTCCGAGTCAGCAGAGCTGGTTGACACCAGACTCCTCATAGGCACTGCCCTGAGACATGCCCAAGGGAGAGCTCTGTACAGCCTGGGAGAAGCTCAAGGGAAGACATACGACTCTGAGGAGACTCCAGAATCTGCAGAATTTCAGAAGAATACAAGACAAAAATACCTAGGAAAGATCATCACACCCTGTAATTCAGGTTCATGCCTAGACTAGGTTAGGCTGCTGTATGCAGCCTCCTCTGAAGAATCCCCCTTCTGTTCCTCAGCTAGAAATGGAGTCAGAGGAATTGATTCACCTTACTTAAACTTCTGTGTTAAGTGCCTGAAAGTTAACAATTTGAATCTGAAGACATCTTAATTTGTTTCCTAAGAAGCCTAGAAAGTCCCCCTTTCCCACAGATAACGTGGTGCAATCTGAGAGTCCCCGGTGTGAGTAGCTGGCCTCCTGTCTGCCCCAGTGCTTGTAGCACAGGCAGCAGCTCTGATCCAGTTGGCAAGGTCAGGTTGTCCCTTCAGCTGCATGCATCCAGCACCCCAGGGCAGCTGGTGCTTCCAAGGATAAAATCCGTGCCCTGCTGCTGCTGCTGAGTGTTTTCTGTCAGGCTTATGGTTGGTTTGTTTAAAAAAAAGATAAAAAAAGACAAGAAAAAAGCTTGTTTTCCAGCAGCACTTAGAGACCCCACTGTGTTGTGTGACATGCGGACAACAGGAAGATCGTCTCTGCTCCAAAGGATTCACAGGATAGCTTGGCAGAAGTACACTGAATAGCAGATGTGGTAAAGACACGGCGTGAGACAAGTTAGCAACAGTAAGAGGAAGATGTTTGCTTACACTGACTAGGTCTGACATCTCCATCAACCAGGGTGTGCAGCGTGCGAAGGCCCCGCAACTTGATGAGCGGTTGGGCCAGCCTCCCGGCACTCCCCAGGCCTTTGCTTGTTGGCAAAGGAAATCCACTGCCTACATCGGCGCTGGCTCTGATCTGTGTGGAAGTGAAAGCGGGAGGAGACATCAAAGAGGGGTTTCCAGGTGAAGTTTTCTGCTGTCTGGAATATTATTAACAATCAAGGAAGGAAGCCGCTGCTGGACTGGATAAACAAGAGGGGCTTTCTTCTCGGGGACCTTTAGAGAAAGGGGGTGGAGGGAGATGAGAGTGCAGTGGAAGGGTTGGGATCTCAAGGAGAAGGTGCATTCAGCCAGCATTCGGCTCCCTGCCATCAGCTGTAGCGAGCTTGTCCATCTGCTTAGGTTAGCGGTGTGTCCGTCTGTGCAGCCCAGCCCAGGCGGGTGGCTGAACTGGGATGCTGCAGCCGGGCTCTCTCCCTCTTTGGTCCCAGGGACAGATGCCAGGCCTGTGCCCGTGCCGGGGGACAGGTGTGCACAGGGCTATGCAGTGCAGACGGGCTGTTCCTTGGGGTCCCGGCAGAGCCTCTGCCGTACTCTGTGCTGACAATGGCTGGTGCTGACATGGCCCCTGTCTTGGGCTCTCTGCAGAAGCGTGGCTGCACCATGTTTTTATGCAGGTTTGCAGAAGGGTATTTCCACCCCTGTCATTTCCCCACTTCTCAGGAAACGGTGTATGTATTTATCAGGGTGCAAAAGCCCTGCTTCATCAGCAATGTGCAACCTCTCTTCTGAGTAGGTAATGGGTTAGACAAGCTGCTGCTGCTCCAAAGATCCTGTATTCCCAGCTGGTGCTTGCTTTTCTTCCTGCCAGGATTGCTTTATTGTATTTTTGCAATTATTAGTAACTCATCTCATGTACGGAACTGGCAACGAATCCGAAGCCAGAGGATCCAAAATATCTCGCCCCGCAAAAAGAGCAGCTCCTCCTTTGCTGCCTGCACGCAGCATTGTTAGCTGACGCAGAGGGAGAGGAGTGCGTGGAGGCCAGCAGGAGAGCTGTGGGTTTGAATCCCGTGAGTAGCAGTTCAGAGTCAACCCTTTCCCAAGAAGTGGTGAGCTGTGAACGTTATGTCTGCAGTGTTGTGGGCAGGTGCGATGGCAGCTTGGGTGGGTATATCGTGCTGGCCTTGATCCAGTTGGCACAGGTAAACCAGCAGTGACATAGTGTAGCAACTTAAGCACTGTCTTAACACTATTAAATACATAGCTGAGATCTCCAGCGGGCTTGTACAACCTGAGGTGACGTTTGTGTCACTGTATCTTTACTGCAGTTTGCTATCTGTGCTAGCTCAATTACAGTTCTTACAGATAGGTCTGTGCTGTGTTTCAGTCCCGCATCTGACACTAGCGCAGACCTGCCTCCGAACAGATGCTTCTGAGGACCTGCAGGCCACACAAACGTCAGCAGTTGCTGTCTGCAGTTCATGCCTTCTATGCTGGCATTAGTCTTTGTGATTTACTGGTGTCAGCCAACATGCAGGGGAGGGGAATTACATCTCTTGTTAGTGGGATTTGCTTTGCATTGCAGCACTGGGGCTTGTGAGTTTGGGTCTGTAACTGAGCCACCTTCTTCTCTTCTCATCTCTGTCACTTGGGCAATTCTGCTCCCACTCCCTACCCTCCCAGAGCCCTCTCCTGCCCTGCTGTCGGCATGGGATCAGTCCTCGTTCCTCCTTCAGGCACTGAGAGGTCTGGGGCTGCAAGACACAGCGCATATGGGAGCGTGCACCATGATGAAAAACCCTCCTGGGCTGGAAGAGGTGCCCAGGGAGAAGGTCTTTGGCATGGACGCTTCTGATTTTCTCTTTCTCTCTCCCCGCAGATGCCAGCAAGGACCATCCGCAGCAGCAGGCAGGGGTGATCTGGAGAGTGACGGGTGGCCTGTTCAGTATCACCCGGGGAGCCGTGGGAGCCACGCTGGGAGGAGTTGCCTGGGTGGGCAGCAAAAGCCTGGAGCTCACCAAAACAGCTGTAACCAGCGTCCCTGCTGCTGGCGTCGGACTGGTGAAGGGCAGCGTCTCAGCAGTGACCGGCGGCGTCGGAGCTGTGGGCAGTGCGGTCGCCAGCAAAGTCCCTTTCACCGCAAAGAAGAAGGACAAAGCTGACTAATCCCCGTCACAGCTCCCTTCCGAAAGATCAACCTGCCCATACTCTCCCCCAACACAGCACCTCTTTGAGTTGGAACCAGCCTCTTCAGGGAGGGTCAAGCACCTGAGCAGACTCTGGCTGCAGCCTGCTCTGCACCGCCTGCCTGGCTCAGAGTTCACAGAGCCGCTGTCAATGCCTTTCACTCCCATCACCTACTGGGAACCATCTTTACTCCGAGGGCTTTAAAGGCACCGTTGTCTCTGTCTTGCAGTTTCCTCTCTCCCTTCTTGCTCTTGTAAGCACAGAGGGGTGGGACAGGGCATCAGGCTACATCTGCCTAGAGGCAGGGGGAGTAACAGGGGAGGGGGAGGAACTATGCCTGGCTTGAAGTGTGGGTTGTGTAGTCAAATTCGACTTCAGCTGGGAAGACAGCCTCTGGAACACTCCTTCCCTTGGCGCTGGGAGGTGTGTTTGGGGGGTCTGCCTGGCGGAGAACCGTAGAAGAGAGTCCCACTCACACAAAGGAAAGATACTGTGAGAAGGGGGAAGCCTCCCTCCTGCCCTGCACCTCTTACCTTTTCTTTGCAGGGCCCATCCCACAGGCTGCTCCCAATCACTTAATCCCTGACTGAATTGCACCCTTCAGAGAAGAAACCCTCAAGCTCAGCAGAGCAGCTCCGGGGATGATGCCACACAAGAGTATGATATGTCTCAGGCCATCAACTTCTACACAGATTTTCTTGGTGAGAGGCAGGAGGATGAAAGCTGCTGTATGTTCTTGTGTGGGGAAGGAGCTGACAGTGGCATCTGCCAGGCCTCTGTGATATTGCAGCACAGGTGGTGTTTGCTCCACAGAGAGACAAACCAGGCCTTTTGGTTTGACCCTTGAAGTCCTTGCAGTATCCCCATCTGCAACAGGGGCGTTTTGACTCTAGGCCACACTCTCACTCCACAGACGTCACTAGTAACCATGAGCAAGTATGTTCCCAAATGCCACCCCAGTTCTGCTGCAGGGAGGGAAGGGAGGCCAAGAGCGATGCTTTCCCATGACTCAGCAGCCCGGGAGCAGTGGCTGGGTATGAGTGGGCTGCGCCGCATTGGAGAGCGCTTCCCCGAGGGGCTGAGCGCGCTCCAGCGGCAGCCAGCCTGCACGGGGCACCAGCAGCTCCTCCACTCGCTGCTCCCAGGACTCCGGCCCGGCTCCTCTAAATGACCGTGTTGCACTAAATAGCCCACCCACACTCATAGTGCCACAGAAACCCAGACACCTGCCTCCATGTGGGAGTCACAGCCATCCTCAGCCTGGCCCATGGTGCCCCGGGGGCCGTGTGGCATCGTGTGCACACACACACGTGCACACATGCATGCACTCACTCACTCCAGGGTCCCCTGTAGTTCTCGGGATGAGGAAAGCCACAGACTCCACTGTTAACTGTGCAGCTCCTGGCTTTGGCAGGTGATTAGCCTAGGTCATTAGGTGTTGGATGCAATAGGCAAGTGAAGCAGTACTTGTGCTGTATTTTATAAATATGCATCAGTGTTAGCGAGTGTGTATGTACCAGTCCACAGGCATGTCTTCAGCCAGGTAAACAAAACTGTGCCACTGCCGCAGAGGAGTTCACAGTCACTTTCGGCACTTCCAGCGTATAGTTTTTATATAGGGTCCTGGTCAAAATAAAAATCATGTCTTAGAGGATGTTTTCCCCTCTTGTTGCCCAAGAGTGTAGTTTATTGAAACCAAAGGAATGTGAAAAATCCCCTTTGTCTATGCGGTTTGTTTACTTTCTGCCCTATCTTTTGGACATTGAAGCCAACTTCCTTGATCTTCATTTCCCATTAGAGGTCATTGCCCTTCCTGGCTGCTCTCTTGTGCTTTAGGATTCAGACATCAGGGAATATTTAACTACCACCGCCCCCCCCACCATTTTTGCTGAATGTTCTTGGGCTTGTGAAACAGTTTTCATTCTGACCTTTATTAAATCCACATTTTGGGCCTGACGTAAGTCTCTGTGTCCCTGTGCTAGTCACGCTGGCGTTAGTCTCTCTCCATACCCTTCTCTTGGGTAGTCCCCGCTGTTTGCAGTGGCAAGAAGTTGCTGATCTCCATAGTGTGTTCCTCTTGATATCGTGAGAGTGGTTTAACCTATATCTTTGTTTCTGAAGAAAAATAGCATTTGGTATGTGTGTGGATTTCCTCAGTCTCTTTTTTCTGGTGAAGGCCAGGTTGACCCAGATGTGTCGGTTTTGTCTCTGAAGGCAGTGGCTTCACAGAAAGATCAGGCCTTGATGTGCGCCTGCACTTTGCTGCGATGCTCATGGCAGTTGGCAAGGCCAGAAGAAGTCTTGTCTGTTCTTCCTTTGTCTCAAATGCCCTGCAAAGCAGGAGGACAGTTTGCACTGTGTGAATCTCTGCTCACTGCTCTCCCTGAGTGCATTTCATTTCTTATTCCAGATCACAGGCTGCTCCTGGAGCCAGCTCTAACTCCAAAGCTAAAAGCTGCTTGGGCATAACTAGCTGTGCTATCACCGGCCCTCTTAGAAATACAGTTTCTTACCTATTGGACAGAAGACAGTCTTCTTCCAAACTGCCTCTCCCAGGCCGTGGGCAGGGGAAGATAGTATCTAAGGGGCTTTACTTCACCAGCCACCCCTGGGCAGATGCTGGGAGGCTCATCATGCTTTTGGCTAACCACTATCCCACACAGGCTCTTGCTGGGGGAGGCAATATATCCTTCCCAAGCTGTTACCTGTGGGCACTGAGCTTGCAGAGCAGGCATGGAAAATGGGATTAAGGTGCATTAAGGAAGGCCATAAGGGTCCTGAGGCTTTCCCCATCTTTTTTATTTCTGCTCTTCTCTGTGACCTTGCAGTAAATGGAGTAAAGCTCTCCATTGAAAGCCTTCTTGTCTGGAGCTGCCATTTCCTTACAGAATGGCCTGTAGAAGGGGAGAAGAGGTGTGAGGGGAACTCGCAGCCTAAATCGCTGTTCTTATAGCCCAGCTAACGGAGAACTCGTGGACCATAAATGGCAAAAGAGATCAAATTAGCAGGCAGGGGTAGGAGATTAAATCTACTCCAAAACCAGGGCCTCACACCGCTTAGCAGGCATTCAGGAATACGTAACTGTGCAGGAATCAAAGGCTCCTGGAAAGTATGTCTCTGTTAACATCCTAGGCCTGCTCAATTCATCCAGGCAACCCAGCCCCAGGCCGCCTTTCTGGACACTCTCAGCACCAGAACAGAAGGAAAACAGAGTCGGTGTTCCCAGTCTAAGAGCCAAGATGCCTCCTGACACCTTTGTTTGCAGGATGGTAGGATCTGGATCCGGTGGGAAAGCTGCTGGCTCCTGACAGATGCCCTATCTTTCCTCCTCCCCCACTACAGACCGCAGCCATCTCAGAGTCCACCTGAGCCACTGGTGCAGCCATTCTCCCACCACCCCTTAGTGGCAAAAACTACATTGTGCGTAAATCCCATTGCTACTAGGTGGAGGGAGCTGGGGCAGCACCGGTATGGAAGAAAGGATTGAAGTGAGTACAAGGAAGATCACCAGCTTTCAGGTGACGGTGAGGGGGTGAAGAGGGACCAGTGATAGAAGGAGGTGAGGAGCCGGGGAGCAAGAAGGAGGGGAGCTTGGGTGGAATTTGTTTGTTAGGATCTGAATCAGAGAGGAATAGAATGGAGTTTGACCTGGGGAAAAACACAGAAAGGAAACTGTATGAATGTGGGTTTGGTGTGTAGTGGTGGTCCACACCTGGCTGGTGCCCAGCTTCCATAGTAGTGATGATTGATAGGGATTTCCATTTAGATGGATCGATGTGCCCAAAGGATGGTCCAAGCACCAGACCAGCTCCCTCCTTGCCACTCCCGTTTCCCAGATCTCCCCCAGGCTTTTGTCATAATCTCCCCATGGTGGAGGTGGGATGTGGCCCTACACACAGCCCTGTACGCTGCCACAGCTGGACGTTCCCCATGCCCCAAAAGTGTGCTCCGTCTGAGAGAAGAGCCCACAGGCACATCCTCTCCTCCCTTTTCCCTTCACTCATCTCATTATCCTTTTTTTTTTTTTTTTTTAAATTTCTCCCTTAGCTTTCTGTCTCACCTCTGGGTAGAGCTCTCCAAAGCTCTCACCGAGACCTTCATTAAACATCCACGCTCATATTGGCTGGGAGGGCAGAGAGGGCAACTCTGCCCCCACAGCTCCCCTGGCTGGGAGAGAAGTGCATGTCTTCCACCCCTCTCTGTCCCCTTGTGTTGTGTGTGTGGGAAATCTTAACCCACTTCTTTTCCTCTGGGTTCCCTCGTTGGCTCTTGTCCCTGTGGGTGGGTCATTTCTTGTGTCTCCATTGCAAAGTCATCCTTGTAAAAACAACAGTGGGAGCAGAAACACGGAGATGGCTAGAGAGAGCCACAGAACTGCTGGAACACATACTGGGGCCCGACTCTGCTTCTCTAGGAGCTGAGCAGCCCTCTGGTAACCCAAAACCGTCACTGCGGCCGCGTGGTCCTGTGCACGGTGCTGGGCTCCAGAGAACACTTTTGTTCTTTTATCATTTCAGTGTCTGTAATTGGTTTCCTACTGAATTTGTTTGCTTGGTTTGTTTTGCAGTGTGTTTCTGGGAATATTCTGCATCTCTGTATTTTAATTACAGTAAAATTTGAGGATAAAAACCTTGGTTATGCTGGCTTTTGTTTCCAGTGGGGGGGAAAGAGGAGAGGAAGCACAGTTGAAGGAAGATGTTAAAGATTCCTTGGGAAATCAGATCTCTCCCCTAAGGGCTACATGAGGCACCAAGCAGGGCTGAATCTCCATCCCTGCTTAAACTAGGACATGGCTTTCAACTGTGATTCAAAAGCCATTTTGCTTCAGGCACATTTCCTGATTGGAATGGTAAGAACAGTTTGGATAAGACTTCTAAACTCAATTTCTTATGTTAGCTTAAAGACCAGCACATGAGAGGACTTCTGGGCTGGGGACAGCTGTCCTAGCCCTGAAAGGAGGATCTCGGCAGCTGAAGACAGGAAATTTTGCCTCTCAACCACCTGCAGGTTTGCGTAGCCACTTTTCCCAGCTGAGGAAGCAAGGAGAAGCCTTGTTCCCCCCACAGCAGCCTGCCTTTTCTGCAGAAGGTGGTTTGACATCCCCCCCTCCTCCCCGAGCTGCAGGGGAGCGCCTCCAGGCAGCCAGACCCTCAGCTTGCTGGCTGCCAGCGGGGCTGCTGGGCGGGGAGAGGCACAAGCTGGCCACCCTGGCCACCTCATCCTGCCACGGGCACTTACCCAGAGCAGAGCTGCCCGATGCTGCCGGGACCGGGCAGCCCTCATGCAGGGAGGATCACAGCCCAGTGGCTGGGCTGTGCAGGATCAGGCCCCAGGCAGGGTGTCCCTTTTACCGGGTCGAGGCCAGGAGCCAACAGCTCGACGTTTGTTAAGTGCTGACAAAAGGATTAATTTAGTAACTAATAACGGGGCAATCAAGCCATTTATTTGGTTGACGTTTTGCTGCCAGCTGCTCGGTAAGAGCGGCATGCAGCGCGCTGATGGGGCTGGCAGCGGCCGCCTCTGCCGCAGGCCCCGCGCCTCCATCCTCACCCGCTGGCATGGGTTCCCAGGCACTGAACCCCCGCAGCTCTGGCAGTGGAGGGGGGGGAAGGTGCCTGGGGTGAGGGCCTCTCCCAGGAGCTGCCCCCAACGCCCGCTGTGGGGAGGCACCTGCACGCCCTCACCCTGTTCCTCACCGGGCTGGAGCCAGCCACTTCGCCCCCGTGGAGAGGCCAGCAGATACCTCACCCCTGCTCACCTTTCCCACAGCCCAGCTGGAGCAGGTTTGCCATGTTAAGTCATGTTGCAAAACGCAACTAACAAGCTGCCCCTCCAGAGGTCTTTAACGAGGGAAAAGGATGCTGGAAAATCACTTCCAGTCAAAGCTTTTCCCTGCCTCACCCAGACTGTGGGTCCCAGCTCCCTGTGCATGACTGCAGCACCCGGTCTCACCCCCTCCCAAGTAAAAACTTGGCCTGGAAGCCGGTGGGCAGCGGACCTCAGAAGAGGCCTTTGGCGAGAAGACCTGCCCAGGTCAGTGGGCTGTGGGTGACTCCAACTCCCCTGTGCCACAAATGGGTCCAGCGCTGGGGGTGTGCGGCTGGGGGTAGGTGTGACCAGCCGTGGCCACATCTCTCTGTGGGTCCCTGTCCTGCACAGAGCTGGGAAACTGCAGGGGCACTGCTGTCCTCTGGCCCCTGGGGCCTGGCCACGGTGGAGGACCCTGTCCCAGCTGGTCGGAGGAGCTGGTGGGCTGTTCCAGCAGGCAGGGCTCAAACAGACCAGCTCTGTCTGGCGTCAGGCTCCTGGCGCAGTGTTGCTCCCATCCAGCAGCTTGCGGCCCTGCTCAGCCCGCAGGCCCTGCGTGGCAGCGGGCAGCCGGCAAAGGAAAACTCGCACATTGCCAGAACGGTCGTCTTGTTCGCTCGTTTTCATTCTGACAGTTTTATGACCTGAACTCCAGCACTTTTCTCTGGTCCTGCAGGGAAGGCCACGCCAACGCTGGCGTTGACGGCATCAGACGTGGCGGGGGGGGGCAACAAGGGGCTGCCACAAGCACTCTCAGCCAGGCGCTTTGGCAAGTCTCGTGCCCCCACACAGGCCAACAAGCCCTCAGGTCTGTAAATAACCACAGGTTCTCACTTTTGGCTTAACTACTTGCATTTTGACACACTTCAGATGCAAACATGCACATGCCCAAGGGGGTGGCTGCAGTCCACTGCAGCCCTGGGGGCTGTGGTGTCTGCTCCCTCCCTCCCAGCTTGCCCCCACCCGCTCCCAGCCTCAAAGGAGCCAGGCAGACCAGGAGACGCTGCTCTGCCTGTCACCTGTGCAGCCACCGCAGCTTAGTCGCTGAGGTCTTTCAGTTGAACTTCACCCCCAGGTCAGTTTTATTGCACTTTTATTTACAGAAAACACAGAAATAAAGCATTAAATGTGTTGGGCTTTCACCAAACCACCCAATCACCTTTTTTTCCCTTTTTTTTTTTTCTTTTATGGGTTTTTGGCACAAAGAAATATCACAGGTGTTACCAAACAACCATGTACGAGCAGCTGACCAACTGCTCAGCCCAATAACAGGACTTAAACAGACAGACATGTCGCACCGAGATCAAAAACAAGGAGGTTGTTCCATGTTCAGCTTCCAGTCTAACCTGCTCATCGGGGGCAAAGGGAGTTATTCTGGAGGGGATGACACCATTCATAAATTATATTTATATTTACCTCTTACATTGTAAAAGTAAACAGTGCAAAAGTACAGTACCCCAGGTACCCTTCTGTTTGGAAAGCTTGAAGGTTGCTTTATACATTTTGTGTGTTTTGTAAACATTGTTACCCATCCACAGTTCTAGCTCTTGCTTGGAGAGACCCGACTCCTCTTGTGTCCGAAACGTAGTGAGGGACAGCAATTGCTTCCCCTGGACTCAGCTGTTGAGATTCCCGCTCAAGGTTTAGTGCAAATTTTGGAGAGAAAAAGACGAGAGATAAAGAGGGGGGGAAAGAAACCGAAAGAAAATAAAATAAGGCAACAGTTAGAAACAGTCCGTATCAAAACTGGGCCCCCCTGGGGCTGCCTTAGGAGAAGGGCAGGAAGTCTCTCTCCTCTACCAGGCTGATGGAGAGGTTCTTCAGCTCCTCCTCAGAGCCAGCGGTTTTGTAGCCGAGCTGCGCCAGCACCTGCTGGCAGGCGTGCTGGGTGAACGCCACGATCTCGTAGGACAGCCGGAACCGCCACTTCTCTGCCGTCGCCGCCGAGTTGCGCACCGTCCCGTACTTGTGTTTGGAGGAGGACCTGTCTCCTCGGGTGTTGTTCTGTATCCAGCGCTCGACGTTGCTGTCCATGGGGATGCCCAGGAAATCATAGATCTCCTCAGTCTTTTTCATGGGGTTCCTGGCCAGGTCTTCGTACCGCACCAGCATGTACTTGCCCTTGAGCCACGGCGGCCGGTTGAGGCCGGTGGACACGGAGTTCCAGAAGTCCTCGCACACCGTGGTGAGCTGGGTGACATCCAGGTTGTACGGCTTCCTGCCAGTGCCATCCCAGATCCTCCACAGCCGGTAGGTATCCCGGAAGGTCTCGCTCCGGGACGCCAGGATCCCCCGGGGGTCCCTCACCAGCTGGATGACCTTCAAGTTCAGCCGCGGGTCCTCCACCAGCGCCCGGAGGTCGCTGACCTCGGGCACTCGCACGGTTTTGATGGCCACATGTCCGTGTTCTCGGCAGGACTCAGTGGCCAGCGTCAGGTTTAAGGTCCCGCACTTCTTCACACAGTCTCCCTCCTCCAGGTGGAGATCGACGGCTCCCAGGGACTCGCAGACGGGCGGTGAGCACAGGGCCTTGCTGGCTCCCCTGCGGAAGAGGCGGTCGGTGGTATGGTTGACAGGCTGGGGTTTGATGTAGTTCTCCAAGAAGTAGAGGTCACAGTCATACAGGCTCCTCAGCAGGTCTCGGCTGGCCCCCAGCATGACCCGCCTGTCCGTCGTACTCTTGCTCTGGGTCAGCTTTGGGATCAGGGTGTACTGGACGTGGTAGAGGGGCTCAAATAAATAGAAGACATCGAAGTGCTGGTTAAACAGCTGCCCAACAAACGAGGAGCCGCTGCGGGTGGTGGCAAGGATGAGGACATGCGTCTTCCTGGAGAGGTTATACGAGAAAGTGGGGCTCTCGTCGCACAGCCTGTCGACCGCATCAGTGTCCTGGCTCAGGCTGCAGTTCACAGGGTTGGGGATGGGGCAGCTGTGGAAGGACTTGGCAGTGAAGGTCCGGATTGCTGTGTACTGGATCGCAATGGATGCCAAGGCTAGTAGGAGGACAGCCTTCCAGGAACATTGCATGGCTGGTCACCTTCATGGAGCTTCTTCACAGGTCGTCTCGGTGTCTGCAATGCAACGGAGAAGTCATGGGTTGCGGAAGGACTGCCAAGGAGGACACAAGTATCCTACTGCTGGGGGTACTGACAGACACCCTCCTAGTGCACGTACATCAGCCATACCCACATGGACCCCCCGTCACACACTGCAGAGCCCCCATTTGGAGGAGAGGAAGACCAGGCAGAGGGTGGCAAGCCTGGAGGGACACTTCCAGCCAGGACTTCAGCCCAGGGCTGCCTCCTTCCAGGCTGGGGGTGTACACAAATCCTGTGCCCCAGGGCTCACCCTATGCCCTGTGGCCCAGGCAAGGGGATGTCAGAGCCTGGTGGACACACCGGCTATGTGCCTCCATCCTGCTGCTGCAAACACTCCTCCCCGGCTGCCTTGTGAGTCACCTGTCACCCCATCACCAGCCCATGCCCAGTGCAGGGTCCACGGCACAGAATGGGCATGGGATGGTGCCAAGCACTGCCTGGAGAGGCTTGTATCCATCCTTTCTGTCCAGCTGGCAGGACAAGGCCCATCCAGGCCAACAACCTCCTGCTTGGGAGAGGGACGATGACTCTCCTGGAGCTGCAAACCTCTTTTCTTAGAGGTCCTTCAGCCAGGCCAGCTCAGTCTGTCAGCCTCTGGGGATGAGTGGCAGCCAGAGCCGTGTCCTGGCTGGCATCCCGGCATGCCCCCAGCAGTGAGATCATGGTGCTGGCCACTTCCTGCGCAGGTCTGGGATTCAGGGACTGTAGTTGCACAGGGCAACTTCAGTGGTGCTAACCCCCACCTTGCTGCAGCCCGCACGTGGGCAAGGGTAGGGGAAGCCGAGCGGGATGCCTGGATAGGGCGCTCAGGGATGGCTAGGTGAGGGGCACCCCCGCCATGCCTGGGGAGCTGCCCGTTGCTGGCACGGGATCAAACTGCGGTGAGGCTTCCGCATCTCCCCAGTTTGCTAACCAAGCAACATGCACAGAGTGCTCTGCGGCACTCCAGAGCACAGGGCTTCACATCCACGTGCTGTCGCTCCCCAAGGCCAGGGCAGCAGATAGTAGATTCATCTCAGAAACCCCAAACAAGCAAAAATCCCTGCCCAGGGGAAACACCCCTGTATTAGCAACAGCTTTGAAGCTCCCCTGCACCCACTTTCCCATCCCCATCCTCCTTTCATGTCTATCCATCCCCGGCGTGGTACATTCACCTCTGCAATCACCTGCCCACCCTCCTCAGGCAAACCAAGGGGACAGACCCAAATATCTCCACTCCCCACTCAGCAGAGCTTTTTCTTCCCAGAGTGTCACCACCATCACTGCTTCTTCCCCACTCCCCTCATGCTCTCTGTGTATCCCCAGGCAGAGCACCGAGCTGGCCCCAAGCTGGTGGGGAGCTCCTGGTCCCCCGCTCGGCCACTGCGGGTGGGACTGTCACAGCTGCTGCTGCCGCTGTGGCTGAGGTCCCTGAGGGAGGCTGATGGGCCTGTTCAAGCCCAGGGCACCCTGAAATCCTCGATGGGCTCGGGATGGTGCAATGCTCCTGGTGCAACGCTCTCTGCAGAGCCAATGGCAGCTGGCACCGCATGTTGTTCCCATCTCCTCAACAGGCCCCACTCCCCAGAGAGACTGTCGTCCAGCGAGTGGCACCAGGAAGGTTGCCCAGACCTGCAGGTGAGTCAAAAATCTCCTTCCTTTATTTATTTATTTATTTAAATAATTTACCAGTTGCCTCAGCTGCTCGGTGCAGGCAGGAGGCTGCAGGAGCTGCCAGCTCCAGAGACCTCTCTGGGAGCAGGGGTTTAGAGCAGGACCCCAGCCCAGGGCTCTGGCACAGCTGCTGCAGGCGACCCCCAACCAGCCATCACCGTGTCTGCGCACCAAGAGCCGTGCTTGAGACCCGTAACAATGCTACGAATACGGGTTGCTTTCTCCTGGGCTGCTGCCTGCCAGGGATGCAGCATGTGGCTGGGTGACCAAAGTCACAGATGCTTGGCTATTGCTGCTTCTGGTTTGGGGTTACCCACCTTGCAGGGGAGAGACCTGGCGCCAGTGTTCACATGGGATATTCTAGCCCTTGGATAAAGTCTTTTTCCATGTCTGCTAAGTCAGGGCAGGACGGGAGGGTCCCTGCTAGTATCTCCTGGCGCAGGTGGCTCCCGTATGCTGCCTAGGTGGAAGCTGCAGTGGGAACACTTTCCTGCTCTCTAGTGATAGCCAGACACACTACATCCTGCACACAGCCTCAACTTCTACTCCTTGCTGCGCTGCTGATGGATGCTGGAGCAAATGCAACTTAGATTGTCCCAGGATGTGGCAGAAGCCCACTGCTGGTTTCCCTGCAAAAAGCAACCAGAGCCCAGGTGCCTCCTTGGTCCCGATCCCTGCCTGCGAGCATTTCGGGTCCTCCACCCACCCCAGCCCGCTCCCCTTCGCAATGCACTGAGCTGCCGAGGGGAAGAAACGGGGCATCGATTCACCTCCTTGGCAGAGCAGGTGGGAAACTACATCCCAGCTTCAGCCTCGGCTGCCCCTCGTCACCCTTTGCATGTGCCGTGCCTGCCTGCTGAGCTGCAGCCAGGGAGGGGCAGGTTTGGGGAGAAAGCTTTCCTCCCTGATGTCTCATCTGTGGCCTTTAGAGCCAGCCAGAGCCTCCTCTCAGCCCCCGGCCAGCTCTCCCACCTCCTCCCATCACTGCCTGTCCCCGAGGGGCTGCGGGAACCACTCAGCCCAGTCCTGGGCTCGAGAGGCAGCTGGGGGCTCTCAGGGGGCTCCTGGGACAGCACAAGCACGTGGCACCCGGGAGCTGGCGGCACGGCTGAGGATCGCTGCCACTTATGCTCCCGCTTGCTCGTCTGTCGGACACGGCCAGGCTGGTGTGCCATACCTGCCGAGGAGGGGCTGTGCGCAGCTCCGTGCGGCTCCGAGCAGGCTGGCCGAGCAGTGGCTGCAGCCACCACGCTGGAGTAGGACATCTCCTACACACAGGTGCAGCAGGATAGCTGCCTGCTCTCCCATCCCTGCCCTTTCTTAAATTGACTGGCTTCTCTTCAGGCACCGGGACGGGGGCCAGCAGCCCAGAGCAGCAGCTGGAGCGAGGGCCATGCCCTTGGGGGGCTGTGTGTGTGTGTGTCCTGTGTGAAGCATGTACTCTTTCGGCTACTCAGCCCTAGACGGCAGGAATGCTGTGACCATGGGAGTCAGCCGAAATGCTGGCCTCCCAAATGTTTCCATATTATAAAGTGTTCCCAGCTGAAATCTCCCTCTGCTCTGTCTCCAGCTCAGCTCCACCAAAGACGATGAGCGAATGCAGCCCGAGGGTGGGAGCTGAGTCTGGTAGGTCCCTCCAGGCAGCAGGAGCTGTGAGATGGAGCGGGGGTAAGTCACTCATACCTTCCAGCCCCCCGGCGCTGCTGGCACTGCAAGGGGCCCGTGAGAAGGCACGTGGGCTCTTTTTGTGCTGTGTCGGGGTCACCACTGCCCCTTCCCCAACCCTAACCCCCTTCTGCTCACAGCCTTCACTCCACAGCCATGCCCGCATCTCTGTCCGGCTGTCTGCAGTCGCATCAGGACCGGGCTGTCCACGAGGGATGTGCAGCATCCAACAACCTTCTCCGAGTGCTGCAGGGGGCTGGCCAGTGCCTGACACAGGGACGGGAGCATTGTCTGTGGGAAGAGGAAGGTGCTGAGCCTCTCCTCTCCCCTGCCTCGCTTCCCGCAGCCTCGAGCCCAGAGGAAGGCAGAGGATGGGCGCAGGCAGCGCAGCCTCCCCCACCCCGCACACCCGCAAACAGCAACGGGTGCATAATCACCTGCCTTCCTCCTCCTCCTCCTCCTCCACCACCTCCCCTGACTCCCAGCACCGCTCCGGGGAAGACAAACAGGCAAGAAGCCAGCAAGCCAGCCCAGGAGTGCTGAGGAGATCGGAGGTGATGAATTAAGCTGAATGGCATCCATGAGTCACTGGCACTGGGAGCAGCGAGCACGGCCGGCCAGCCGCAGCGCAGCAGAGGCCCGGGAGGAGATGCTGAGCTGTGGACTCCCATTTCAGGAATGGTCTTCCCAGGTTTGATGGGAATGACCTGCTTTTAGAGCCACGCAGCAGGCAGGCTCTGTCAGGCAGGCTGGACTCGGCGGGGCTGCTGCAAGGATCGGTGCCACTCGCACGTCTTCTCCCCTCCAAAAGCAGCCAGGTGTTATGTGGGGCAGTGCCTCACGGCACTGTGGCACTCTCAAGTTGCGTGGGGCTCCCGCAGCACCTCCAGGCACACGGCTGCCCTGCCTCCTGCCCCAAGCCTTCCTTGCAGGTTCCCTTGCTATTCCCCAGAGGTGTTTGGGCAACTCGGGTGTGACAGCAGCTTTAGGCAGGAGACCTTGCAGTAACTGGTACTGTCATTGCTGTTTCCCAGGCTCTCTCACAGGGCACTCAAAAAAAACCCCCTGCTCCTTTTGGCTGCCTTCCAGGCTGTCCCACTCTCTCGAGAGCTCCCCAGAAGTTGTGCCCTCAGCCAGGCTGAGCTCATCCTCGGCTCCCTCGCCACTGCCAGGGAAATCCCTCTGCGCTTCCCTATGGCGGGGAGGAAAGGAAAAGGGAGGTGCGAGGGTCTGTGCAACGCGGGTGCCCGCTCCAGCCCTGGCACAAGCCCCGGCGCCAGGACGATGGGCTGGAGAAGCACCTGTTCCCCCTGAGCCCTTCCTCAGGGCCCGCCTGGTGCTGGCCCAGCTACCGGCACCCTCTACCCCCAAAACCGATTCCCGCCAGCAAGGCTGTTTCCATGGAAACGGCAGAGTGACTCAGGACTTTGGGACCAGCTGGAAAACACAACTGTGAGCAGCAAACGCCCGAGAGGTGCCAGGGTCTCGGTGCCAGGAAGACGGGTGGATGAGCGCGGGGACCAGGCAGGGCTGCCTGCCTGCCTGCATACTTGGGCTCGCTCATGCCGGCACTGAGGGGCACACAGGCACACCCCACGCGAGGCAAAGCCCACGCCAGGACTTGTAAAGCAAACCCCCTCTCCTGACACAAGTGTGACTGCAGCACTTGGAGAGCATCACTGCAGCACGCGTGCCGGGGGACGCATCCCAGGACGTGCCTTGTCCCCCCGGGAGGGAGACCCACGTGTGCAGAGTCACCCACAGAGTTTGCAGCACCAACTTCGGCAGCCGCTCACCTGTCCCCTGCCCATCGAGAAACGCCCCTGGGTGCCGTGCCCCGGGCAGAGCAGCTTGCTGGAGGGCTGGTCGGAGTGGGGGGATGAAGCTGCAGCCCGTGGTGCCTCCCAGCCCAGCCAGCCTGGCTCCTGCGGCCCCACTCCCCTCCACCTCGCCACCCAGGCACGGAAATTAAGTCGTCAGGTTGCAAAACAACTCTCAGCCAGGGACCCACTGGCACCAGCCCTGCCGCTTCCCGGCATCCTCCCACCGAGCAAAGAGTTTATCTTGTAAAACAACATGTTGTGGCCACTGAGACGGGGAAGATGGGCTCCTGACGGGGGGTTTAACGACAAGCATCCCACTCGGTCGCAGCGGCTTAGTCATGCTGGTGGCTCTGTGAAGCCAGGCAGACGCTGAGCACACCCGTGGCCCACCCACCCGGGGTGCAGGCAGGCTGCACCCCACCGCTCCCCAAGGGAAGGGAGACCCCTGAGAAAAGGAGCAGCAAGCAGCCCCCCTTTCCCCTCACCACAGGCGCTACCTGATTTTGGGTACAGGCGCGTGAGCAGGGCTGGTCTCTGTCCCCAAGCCTTCGCCCCCCAGCAAGGCCCACCAACATGAGATCCTGACGGAGAGGAGCGAGCCTTCAGCCTCGCCTCCTCTTCAGCCGTGCAGCCCGAGAGCTTCCCTACACAGCTCCAAATGCCAGCCGGGGACTCACGCCCACCTCCTTCCCCGGGTGAGCCCCGCGCTGTACGCCGAGCGGAGGGGCTTCGTGCCCTCAGACCCGGACCCGCTCTGCTCTCCCGTGCATCACCTCCTGGGGCACTTTTCTCACGATAAGGCACAGGACCCCAGTGCTCAAAGCCACTCCTGGCACGTCCCCTGCTCGCCTATCTCTGCCCAGCCCCTCCACGTTTCAGAGGGACCAGGAGACCCTTTGCCACCAGAAGATAACTGCCCACTTTGACCAACACTTAAACCATCACAGAGCTCTCAACAGGGATTTTGGTTTTTCCCTACCGCACTCAGCATACACGTTTTGAGTTAATTAATCACTACCAGGTAATGCCAACCCCAGCCAGTCCCAGAGTTTTCTTATCGCAGCATCCACCTGTACCTGTTTATCCCTCATCTGCTGAACTGCATCTGTCTCTTCCCGAGGATGCGAACGCTCGGGTAAACCCGATACAATTTTTTTGCGCTCTCCCACCTTCCCTTGAGCCATCCACCAGCCTGTTTGTGCATGCTGGCTCCCTCCCTCCCGGAGCGCTCCCCTGGCAGGAGCTGGATGGCTCTTTTGGGATGAAGGCGCTCATTCACCACCTCCAAACCCTCCTTCTGCAACGCACCCAGCCGACGGCCGCGTCAAGAGCCCGAACCTTGAACCTCACAGCTTTCCTGCAGGACTGCTCCATGCCATGGCGCGCTCCAACCCCGCTCTGCGAGGTCTCCTCGCCAGCCTGCGTGCTCACGGCAGGTTTATCAGCCCACTTTGGGGTCTGACAGCAAATGCCG